GAAAGGCTGTGGCTGCTTCCCAAGCTCCTCAGGCATCCAGCAAAGACTGTCAACCACTTTCTGCTGCAGGGAATCAATTGAATGGGCTCAGAAGTAAACGGTCATGGTGAGATCAGATCTCATCCTTTTTCTGCACTGGCTGGTGCAGGCTTCTGTAAATAAGTGTTTGCATTGTGGCAGCACCTGGGGGTCTCAGACAAGGGCCCCCTTGTGCGAGGCTACAAAGAGAAATAAAGAAACGAGCCCTGACCCCGAGTGGTCCCAGCACTAGAGGGTCTGACACAAGTAGGTCAGCAGCAAAGAGGGTGGGATGAGGAGGTATGCTGAGCCACTTCGCTGTGATTTAATTATTTAGGTTAGTGGCCTGAATGTATAATGAGCTGGGGAGAGGGTATTTAATATGGAAAACTGCCCTGGCTGAATAATGTGGGGTTAATCTGGTCTCTGCAGCCTACGAGGGAGAGGACGAAGCCTGGCAGAAGAACTGCATTGTTCACACCTCATCCTGGAGTCCCTGCTCAAAGACCTGTGGGCTGGGCATCTCCACCAGGATTTCCAATGACAACGACCAGTGTCGGCTCCTGAAGGAAAGCCGCCTGTGCAACATGCGGCCCTGCGAGGTGGATATCACCAAGCACATTAAGGTGAGGACTGTTTCTCCACGTGCCCCTTGAGTTTTGCCTGGACGTGGGGTCAGCCTTTGTTTGGCAGTGTTCAGGCCTCTGAGGGCTGCACTTTTGATCTTGGAGGCTCTTAGAGAGCACATGTGGATTCACTGCAGAGAGGTCAAAAATATGTCCTCCCTGTGCTTCCACATGTTGGTATAAAAGCCTTCCCCTGAGAGCTTTAATTCTGGCCAGAAGTTCCTTCCAAGGAAAGGCAATTCCAGTCCACTGTGCTCACTGATGGTTCAGAAAGACCTGTGACTCAGCTAGTGGAAAAGTGATGGTACACTACTGTCATCGCTATGAACTGTATTTTGCAAGTATCCTACTTGCAGCTTCTGGCTTCCTATGTCCAAATGTGTCATTCTGTCACACCCTCTAGATCAGGGCTCTAAATCCTTCCTAACAGCTTCAAAACCCTTTAAGTGTCAGGAAGGTTCTTTGCATGTCCTACCTGTGTCAGCAACGAATATTAACCTGTTCCTTTTTCTGTTCTTCTCTGATTTAGCCTGGGAAGAAGTGCTTGGCTGTCTACAGGGCTGATGAACCAATGAACTACACCATCTCAGGATGTGTGAGCAAAAGTCCATATAGACCCAAATATTGTGGTGTCTGCACGGACAACAGGTGCTGCACACCCTACAAGTCCAAGACTATTGAAGTGACATTTGAGTGCCCAGATGGAACTGAGTTTTCTTGGAAAATCATGTGGATCAATGCTTGTTTTTGCAACCTGAACTGCAAGAACCCCAATGACATCTTTGCTGACTTGGCTCATTACCACGATTACTCTGAGATTGCTAATTAAATTGGCTGAATGCTGGAATTGACCCGTTGCTCTGATTTTACAGAGGTATTAAAATAAAAGGAGAATCTTTCATCCACTGCCAATGTACAATTTTTTTTTTCCTGAGTTAGGATGTTAAATCTCCTTGTTTTGCCACATTGTTTTTGGAGAGGCCTTGAACAAGCAGGGTTTTCAACTCTAATAGACATCCATCCATCCATTAACAACAGCCAGAAATTCCTCTGTGCACAGATTCCAGGACTTAAATGACAGTCCTGTTGGTACTGACATTTATTAGGCCAGCAGTTTAGTTGCCCAAAGGAAACAATGGTACACTACTATGACAGCAAAAGTATGGCTGTCAGCAGCTTAGACAGGAGCTTCAGACATTGTTACTGTAATTTCTTGAATAATGTGCTCTAAGCTCGAAAATGAGCATTGGCATATATGTTTTATTTTCAGTGTTAGACTTCAGTCTTTAATGGTGCTAATGCTCCGGACTAGGCTGTGGTCTCTGTTAGACTGAGATCAGTCCTAGAACTCCCCCTGTGTCATTCTCAGTCAGATCCTAGCCCATGGTGATGTTTACGGGAAAAGCCTAGGGAGAAGTTTTCTCCTGAAATCTCTGTGTGATGAGTCCATCTCTCACTGCAGTAGGCTGGGTCAAAGAACCTCTGTGTCCTGCTCTCCTTGGACTCACCTCGATCTCTTGGAGTATTTTGTGCCAGGGACATTTTCACAGTTTCTCTACCAGGTCTAATCTTGAACAGCTTAAATGCTCTGAATCCAAAATGGCCACCCCAGAGCTCATATTTTCAGGATAGATCCTCTTGGCCATGGATTATGTATTGCTCCTAGGCTAACTCTGCAGACCTCAGATATGAAATGTAGAGAGTCAGATGAGAGATGGAAGGACAATGTGCCCATTTATTCGCATAGAAATGGTGTAATCTGTGCCTGGGGACCACCAACTCCTCCTTCCCGTGGTGTTACCAGCACACAGGTCCTGCTACCCACTGGCACCTTGCCGGTGACACATAATTTTGTTTTACATGGCTAGGGTAGAGGAAAGAAGACGTGCTAAATGAGAAAACAGATGTTAGGCTTCCCATCAGCTGTGTGGATGACTGGATGCAAAAGGAGAGGACAACCCTTGGCATAGCTTCTGGTGCATCAGTTGCAGCTGGGCTGCTGTTTAGAGTAAATATCAATGTAAACATTTTCTGCAGAACTGGTTTCACATGCAAGTGTCAGCTAAGAGAAGAAAAAAAACCAAAAGTCAGTTTTTTTCTCCAATAAATTGTTAGTACAACACCCGTACATCATGGCATGTTCACTGTTGCTTCACTTGGGAGAGTAGAAATGTGTTTCTGCAGCTGTAGTATCTGCTTCCAAAATTCCTGGTGGCACAGAAGAACTGCTGAGTGACACATGGTCTGGAGATTGGACCAGAACAGGGCTGAACTCAAATGATGCAACTGTTTTAAATCAGTCATTTATTTTGCTTTCGGTTAAGTTTGTAAGTTGTCTATCTTCATCTTGATAACCCAGAGGAAGCTAGATTAGTTGCCAGGAGACATAATTTTTTTTCTGGCTATGATAAATCAAAGTTTCTTGTGAGCAGACTGAAAATACAGCAATCCCTATGTAAAAATATCTAGGAGAAATATCTTCAAAAGCTGTTAACTTCAGCAGCATTTTTGTTTGTTTACAAGGATTTGGCCCACAAATTTTTCATAGAGCCAGGTCACTCCTTAATTCAAAGCTTTTAGTATTTGGTTTTTTTTAAGCTTTCCTGAAATCTCCAGTGGCAGAAAAGAAGGGTGAACCCTGTCTGCATGTTCCAGTACAGGTGTAAAGCACCTCTCCTGTTTGTTCCTCTGGTGATAAGGAACCTGAAGACACCAGCACTTTGCAAGATTCAGCCTCATGTCTGCCTTCAGCCTGGATAATGTGACAGGAGAGGTCACATCTGGTCTACCCACCTCCACCCAAATGAGAGCTCAGCACTGGCAAGACTGAGCATGTTACATTTTGAACTCCATCACTCGATAAAAAAAGGTCCATGGGAACATATGAAAAAGAAGCTGTAGCTGAGAAATAGACAATGTTTTCCAAATGGGAAAATGGTTTGTATTGAGGCACTTGATAGGGAAGCTGTACTAGGACCTCTTTCTCAATCAGATCCCTTAAACATGGCTTAGAATCCTGTGTTCTACTTGTAGCCCATCTTAAAATACCATATATATGTGTGTGTATATACACATATATGTGTATGTATATACATGCATGTGTGTATATGTATGTATACAAACATATACAATATTATATGCATGCATTTATATAATTTTGTATATAATATTGTATATAAAACCATATATGAACATGCCCATTAATATATATGTGTATATTTACATATAGATATTCCTATGGTGCAGTCTGCAGTGCATAAAATATAGTGTCTGTATAATGTGTGTTCATATGCATAATCAGTTTTTCACTGTCTTACATACACACACAGGGAAACAAGAAAACAGGATCAAAAGACATGCCCAAAGCTGTGGCACATAACAGGCTTGCTTTGCTTTGCAATTAGCTTCCACTGTAACCACCGTAATCAAATGCTGCTGTGGCTGAAAGACACAGCTTTCATTGCGAGATAAAAGAAGCTATTGTAGGCTAATGCATGACCAGCAGCTCCAGTGCATGTCAGTTTTTAGTGAAGTGAATGCCTGGAAACCACAGATCTTGCCCAGAGCACCCAAGATGTTTCTGTTTCTAGGCTGGTTTCCTAAGGGAACAAGGCGTACGCAGCCATGCCATCCATTTGTTCATCTGTCAGTCAGTCTCTGCGGGAAACGCCAAACAAAGTCGACAGAAGATTAAAGATCTCAGAAACATTGCAATTCTTGAAATAAAAAAATAAGATAAAATAGCAGGACAGGGGAGAGGCCCAGCCCATTCCTCCTACCAAGCCTATACACATCTGCTGTGCATCCAACACATCTGCAGCGTGGCCCAACCACAGCAGCAGCATTATAGGATTTTGAACAGATGCACCCATTGGGAGCAAGCAGCTGTGGAGGAGAGAGAGATGAAGGCATCATGGATGGGGAATAGAGATTGTGACACTGCTGTAAAGGAGTTTCTGGGGACATTGGACACAAATCTGTAGGAAATCAAGCCTCATTAGCTCTACTGCTTGTGCAACTGCTTGTCTGTTCGGTGACACCAAAAGGGGAAGAGCAACACTTGCAGCCAGTGAGCTCGACTTGCAGTTTGTGGTGCATTAGAGATCCTTTGTTTTAACAGATATTTACAAGAAGATTAGCCCTGGGACTAAGGCAGTAGATAAACCTTTAGATTCAGTTCTCTGGCTCCCAGTGTGCTTGAGCAAACTATGAATCTTTACAAAAGCACTTTTATGGTTGCTGTTTAAATACATTGAGGAGCTAGATCCTCAAAGGCTTTCATGGATCCAGCCCTTTGCTTTGCTTTTCTGCAGTTCTTCGGAGCCAGAACAACAAAGCCCTACTGTTCATCGCCTCTGCTGGGAGTGAAAACTACTCCAGCAGGAACTGATGCTCACTGTATGTTTGTACAGTGCCTCGTACAATAGGCACAGGTCTCTGCTGGGACCTGGAAGCGGTACCACCATCCAAGAAAGCAACAATAACACCATTGAGGAGGCTCTGAGCTGGTGCTAGACCTCTCTGCTGCAGCGGTACAGGGAAAGGCTTGAGAAAGGATGGGAGTGACAATTTTGCAATCCAGGCTAAATTGAGACAGTTTGAAACACATCCTGCTCAGAACAGTCATCCTCTTGGTGTTGTGGGCTGGGACGAGGACGGGATTTTGAGGGTCAGCTTGTGCTGATATGAACATCAAGACTCCAGCCAGCTCCAGTGACCATAGCCATCAGCCTTCTGTAGGGACATCACCAGTCAGTATGTCAGCTCAAGCTGCCTTCTTTGGGACCTGCAGAAAGCAGGTTATCCACTCACTGGGCAAGCAAGCATGTGACTTACAAAGATGCCTTTGCATGTAGTGCTGACTAGAATTTAAAACACCATTTTGGTGTGCATGCAACCGAAAACAGGGTGCAGTGCAGTTGCCTTATTTCTGATATGCTCACTAGGATTGTGTTGTGTATATGTAATAATCCAGGAAGACCACAACATTCAGAAACACTGTGTCATCCTGTAAATTAAACCCTGAGATTTTTTTTCTCACATTTTTTTGAAGGAGATTCAAGACAAGCAGTTTATTAAACTGATGGAGACTGAGTGCTCTCATTAACTACAGGCACATATCCATACACATACCTTTTCAAACTGTGACTTTAAAATTTAAACAGTGCTACAGAGTTATTTCCGTAAGCTTCATATGCTGAAATATATGAAAAATTAATGGGAAAAACAGGTTGGTTTGGCAGTGTCAGTCTGAGTTACTTCAGCTATGTAACACATATTACTTGTTCGTACAGCATCATGTTGAGATTTTATAGGTGACATGCTGCTGCTATGGTTTAAAGATATTAAATAACCTCATAAGTGGTAAATGATTAATGAGTCTGTGACTGACACCTCATTTAGGAGTTTAGGCAAGCAAAACAAGGTGAAATATATTTGCCACTGACATTTCTCTTCCTTTTCCAATCTCCTCTCCTGGCCAATGTCCAAGTGTGCTTTTGCAATCTGTGACAAATCCATGAACTGGAGAACACATAAAAATAAAAATAAAGAGCCAGTAATGTATCAAAAAAAAAAAAAAAAAAAAAAAAAAAAGAATGCTCTGAGAGCATTTCCTTCAGTGTGAATATTTTGGCAGTTTGGGAAAGCCAGGCGTTCCCCAATTCACGTGTCCTTGTTTGCTGGGCTGTTTCTGGGTCTACATTTGTTGTTTTTTGTTTTGTTTTATTTTTTGTTTTGTTTTGGTTTTTTTTTCCCCAGCACTCTTACTGGACTAGGGATAGCCTGTCTAGAGTCTTTGAGCAAAGTGGAGTGTGTTACTCAATCTGCATAAGCAACTCTTCTTTATCAGCTCTCTTGGGAGTTTACAGGAGTAACCTGCTTGCAGCAGGCATATGG